GTGGGGGGCGCCCGCAGCCGTGCCGTGCCATGCCAGCCCAGCCTCGCAGGCCTGCAGTGTGCTGCTCCTGATGGGCACTGGTGGCACAGATGCCCTCTGGACAGCGCTTTCATTTGCTTTGACCACTGAACGAGCTGATTCAGCATTCCTGGAAACCCTCCCCACAGGGGACAGCAGAATTAGGGCAGATCTCTCCAGGGCTTCCCAGCTGCAGAGCTGCCTGCGAGCAGCTAATCGCATTCTTAATTAATCTGAGCCATGCACATGGTGAGAGCCAGAGGAGGGCAAGGCATCTGCTGCCCCTGCTTCAGAGCTCCTTTGTATTTCAGCAGCGGTCTTGCCGAGCAGAGACACAATGTGCCCATAAAGGCACAGCAAGCGCTGATCAAAAGCCACTGCCCCACTGAGGGGGGGCAGTGGAGGCAGCTGCCTCCGCACCTTGCCACAAGCAGTGGTCGCTCTGATCCTGCCACGGCCAGCAGAGGACAGGCAGGGCAGCCCTCCAGCCCCACGCCACTGCCACGCGGCTGCCGGCCTCCTCCATCACTGCAGGGGCTTGCCGGGACCCCTTTATCCCTGCCAGGGACATGCTGCTGTCAATCCATGGGCATCAGCTGATTTTTTGGGGGTTTAGTACCAAACAAGGGGGAAGAAGAACCTCTGAGGGATTGTACGTGGATAACTGCCGGGTATTTAAGCACCCCCAGCTGCTGCGCGGCGCGTGTCTCTGGGCTCTTGCATTTAGCCAGGCACCGAGCGTGCCTGGCCTGAATCAGTCCTGGGCTGTCACTCCAGATTTCACAATTGGGCCAAGCTCACAGAAGACACGCTCTGGTGACCTGGAACCGCAGCCATTGTGTGATCTGTGGCTTTCGCGGCCCTTCAGTGGGCCTAAACCCACCGCTGGCAGGGGAGGAGGCAACTCGTGACTTGCAGCTTAGCCAGCGCATTAGCGAGCTGTGCGGGGGCCCTAATCCCCCCTTCCTGGCTGCCATGTGATTTCAACCCGCAGCATTTGCAGGCTGGCCCTGCCCTTCAGCTTTGTGCATTGCGTGCCACCTCATTCACCTTTCTCACACCTTGTCTTTCCCAGAGCCTTGCCGCGGTGGTGGTCAGTCCTGGGTGTTTTGTAGCCTGGCATCATTTTGGAGCAGCTTGGCGTTTAAGCAGAACCCCATATCAAATCCACAGTGGACTTGAGACCTCTGGACCCACATTTGGTGCTGGTGGATCATTTTCATAGAATCATAGAATGGTTAGGGTTGGAAGGGACCTCAAAGGTCATCTAGTGATCTTAAAAATAGAGAAACGATGCAACTGGGCTAAAACCACCCAGATCTTGTTGTCTGCCTCTGAGAGCTTGCAGAGATCTGCCCTCATCTGCTGTCAGCCCTTGACTCAGGTACGCTGAGACTACCTCCAAGGGAAACTCCTGCTCCAGAGGTCTTCCCTCCTGACCTCAGGACCACAGACCCTGTGCACTCCAGCAGGGCAGAGCTCTCCCTGCTCCGTGCTCTGCATTATCACTGGAGTTGCTCTTCAGTCTTGTTTTGGATGCAAACACCATGGCACATCCAAAAGCTGCTGGGGCACTTTGAGGAAGTCCGATGACGTTGTTCCTCTCATGCCGCAGTGCAATTTGCCTTCAGGTGTTCTGAGTGGGGATGATGAAGCAGGAGGAAACAAACATGGTGTAACTACAGCTCCAGGCCTAATTCTTCCTTTCTGGGCAACTCTGGTGACACAGGACAAACGCGGACCACTTGGGACAGCAAATCCTGCTCTACCATCAGACGCTGTTAGTTAATTAGGACCTTTTAAGGCAAATGGCAGGGTTAGTCCTGCAGCCAGCAGGTGTCTGTCAGAAACCTGACTCCAGACCTCCCTTTCTCTTTTGCAGGACCAGTACATGTTCCTGTACACCTGCATCCGCGACATCATCGCACAGAAACAGCCCTAGCACCGCTCGGCACTACCTGGCACCGTCCTGCCCTCCACCTCTGCGGGACCCTGTCCGGAGCCAGGAGCTGGGGTGAGAGCACCATGGGGGTCCTGGCACAGAGCAGCGAGAGAGGACCCACTGCGGCACTGCCACCAACGCTTCCTACATGGTGTTAGCAGTGACATGGGGTCTCCTGAGCAGATGGGCAGTGCTGTCGTGCCATGCACTGGTGCAGCCCCTCGGTGCAGACATGGTGAGGGGCTGTGTGGGATGCTCCCCTGCTTTGGCCATGTCCTGGGATTTCTGGTGCCTGGAAGGTTTGTTAACCCCACTGCATTATGCAGCACCAGTGGTGGGGTTCTGTGGTGCCTTGTCCCTCAGCACAGAAGGGGCAGCCCTGGGCTTGTTCCTGGGCAGCCCAGGCACCCACAGGCTGCTGAGGTCTAACGTGAGCACTGGGCACCATGTTCTCTGTACAATCACGGGTGCAAGGTGTGCTGAGGTCTCAGACACCACTGTGGGCAGAGCGTGGTGGGAGCTGGCTTATCTCAGCTGAAGGACCAGTCTTAGGTACAAACAATAAACAGCCCTAGGAAAGAGTGCACTCATAAGGGTGGGTTGGCTTTTGTGGGGTCTCAGCGATGCCGAAGCCTTCCCCTGCTGCAGCACAGCAGCTGTTCCCAAACGAGCAGCTGTGTCCCTAGCCATGGGCAGAGGATGGGGTACCCTTGGTCAGTCCAGGTACTGCAGCCCAATGCACACAGCAGCTTCTGCTCACTGTCATCTGCTCCTGTTACTGAGGCAACACTTCTGCAGTGAGCCTCCAACCCACTCACAGCTTCATGAGGAAGAGACATATTTACTGATGAAGCCTGGGCTTGAAGTTATGAATCTGCTGGCTCACAAGAGCCAAGGACCAGGGCAAAGCCACCTGGTCCAGCTGACATTCTGGCAAGCAGCTGGCAACCCTGTGGCTTACTGCAGAGCACTGGTTGCTGCTCCAGGAGCTGGGTTGTCACATGTAGGGACACCACTGCCCTGCAAGCAGGGATGGCCATGCGCAGGCTGAAATTGCAAGTAGCGACTTGGATGGTTGAGCTCCAAGTGCAGGTCAGAAGGAAGAGTTAAAAAAAAAAAAAGCATGATTTCATTATCATATTCCTGGGGTAGAAAAAACCTATCTGGGAACTTGCTTACCCTCCTTCACCCTTTCAGGCAGCATGTTGTTATGGTACAGCCTCAAAGACCCCTGTCCCAGTCTGGGCCCACACTCCTACCCACAATACCATGCCCTGCGGGAGCTGCCTTGGGTGAGGAGGCACAACAACTGCGATGAGGAGGTCTCAAGACCTTCTGCAAGGAGTAGACAGCCCCAGGCTGGGACCACTCGTCCTACTGCCCCTATGTACAGACAGCTTCTCCCTCTTCCAAAACAAGGATGCTGCTGTCTGCACCCCAGAGTGGGACACACAGAGCACCTAAGCATGGGCAACCATCAGCCATCCTAGCACTGGGATGATGCCTCAGTTGCAACTGGGTTTGACCCCCTCCTCCCAGATAACATTTTTCTCCTTGGCAGTTGCTGCGCCCACCCAACTCCTGTCCCCACCACGCACCAGTGCAGCTGCCAGCCATGTGTTCAGGCAGGGGTGGGAACCTGCCCCTTGCCCTTTGCACCCACTGCCCACATGTAGAAACAGGCAGCGCACAGCTGGGTAGGAGCAGCTTCTCCATGCACACAATATATCTTCCATAGTGCAGGTGGGGCTTCTCTGCTGCTCAGTCCCCTTTGCCATCTCCTCCTTCCCTCCATTCCCTGCTCCGCTCCCAGCATCATGATGCAGCACTCATGGGATAAAGGAAACCAAGATGGTGCAAGCCTTGGCCCCATACAAGGCTGTTTTTCCCCCCACTGTTCCCCCCGCCCTGGGCACTCTGTGTGTGCAGTGCTCCCTTCACCACACGTCAGAGCATCCTGAGTAGCCCATGACCACCCTCATTCACCCTGACCTGGTAACTCCTAAACTGTGCTTCTGCTGCAGGATTCATAAGTGTCGCAGTAAGGAAACGTTTGCTCCCAGTGACAGCCCCCCCAGCCCAGTAAGCAGGATTGGTGGGGTCAAGCTGTTTGCTGCTCATGAGGTGTGTGCAGTTTGTAGCAGCAGCCACCTGCCATCATCTTCTGGGGCACCACGCGAGAACACACCAGTGCATGCTGGAGGCCTGACATAAAAGCAAGCAAGCTGCAAAATCAGATCTGCTCCAAAGAGTGACTGTCAAGAATTTTGGGTTGATAGGCTGGTGAGGGTTAGACCTGCCCAGCAGCAGCACAGGATCACACCGGTGTTGAGGGGTTTATCCCAACAGCCCCCAAGAAGGTGCTGTCTCAAAGACCATGTGTCCTGCTGCCACATGCACATAGAATCACCCTTCTTAGATGTCTATCAGAAACAACTCTGGTGTCCAGCGTTCACCCTCCAGCTCCAGCCAGCCTTAAAAATAATTCCTGGGCTACAAGACAGTAGCCTGTCTGTTGGGACCTGCAAGTCCACAGTCCTCTAACAAATCCCTACAAGGACAGTGACAGTGCTGGTACTTCCACACCAGAAGCCAAAGTCCATCCACTTGTCAGAGTCCTCACTGCCTTAGCCTCAGCACAGCTGACCTCCAAAGCTCATGAAGGCAGAGGTCCCTGTGCAGGAAAAGGTCTGGTGCTCATCCCCTCAAACGGGAGAAATGAAACAACCTGGATCAAAGTCTGACATCTCCCTGCTGGTGCTGTTGGACACAGCCTGAGACTCGCATTTGCTGTGCATGGCCCAGAAACCCCAGACGCTGAGTGTGGTGACATCTCAAAGGTGCGTGGAGATGTGAGCTTTAACTTGGTCTCCAATAGGCTCTTGTTCAAAGCGTGCAGTCTCCACTGAACACCAAGAAGCATTTTATCTGTATATCCCAAGATGGTTTATGATATGTAAAACACCTAATGTTCTTAGTCTCAGAAGATTTCAGGAATATATGCAGAGCACCGTGACCTGGGAAGTGGGGTCAGCTGCAGTGATAGTGAAGATGTAAAGGAGGAACCATTGCCACGAGGTAGCAGGAGCCTTGTGAGGGGTCCAGAAGCAGGATTACCAGGTCATCGTTGCTCCTTTGGCTGTTTGTCACCCCACAGTAGCCTGGAGTTCTGCACAGACAAGCCCTCCCTTACTCTGCCAAGCACAGCTATTGGGGTCTCCCAACAGCCTGGCCAGGACTGCATCCTCAGAAAGGCGCAGCTGCCAAGGATAAGGAGAGACAGGAATTCCCCATCTTTTCTGTTTTTCTGCAATCAGAGCTACCCTGTGGCTTGCAGAGTCATTATGCCTGGGGCTTTGCTCAAAGCCGTATTCCCCATGGAGAGGGTCTAGGTCTGGCTCTACAGCTTGTGGCACAGGAGAGAGGCCTCAGATGGGGACAGTATTCCAGGGACTGCTTGTGGGCTCTTGCCTTTCGTGGAGAAGAGCAGGACCACATCCACATGAGATGACTTGGCCACCCCCCAGTTCATCCTTTGCTGATGGCAGTGACTGAGCAAGATGGGGAGTGAGTTCTGCTGGCACCCACCCCACCCCACCTCTCATCCCAGCAGGGCTCAGTTCAGCACAGCACTACCCATCCACCTTGACAGATGGGCTGCTGCACCAGGATTTTTCTACAGCCCCTTAGGAAAGTGCTCATGGGTCTTCTGCGTGTCCATGCACAGAGACGGTGGTCCCAGCCATCGGGCACAGCTACACACACCCAGGTAGGGCTGATGCATGGACCCAGGGCTCACAGCACAGAGTTGTGAGGAGCACTGGCTCCAGTCGTAAGGAAGCAAGTGAAAGCCATGGTGGAGGTCGCATGTTGCTGTCTGCAGAGCTTCCAGTCCAGGAGCAAGTGATCCCACAGCCCTCACATCTGGCTAGCACAACACAACAGTGTTTTCAGCAGAGCCAGCAGCCAAGATGAACCTGCAGACATCTGCAGCTGCTCTGGCAGGTATGAAGGGACCTTCTCATCAATGGGACAAGGATTTGTCATGCCAATGGGCTGACAGGTTTCACCCAGTGAGTTCGGTATGGCTGTGTCTGTGGCACAGCCCGCTGCTCTGTGTTTCACATCCAGTCTAACAGGAGGCTGACTTGGTGACGATGATGAATTTACGACCTCCCACCCACTGCTGCAGCGGAGTCTGGAGCCACAGATGCTTACAGAGGGTGTCGTGGGAGCTGTGGTTTGGATGAATAATTTTCCAGCCCTGCAGCTCAGAGCCACAAAACCCAGAGGGGGAGAGAGAGACAACAAAACAGTAAAACAAAACAAGCCTCCAGCGCGGGCCGCCCAGCGAGTTCTGGACCATGTCATGTTGTTCTTCATATTTAGCCTGCTCCAGTCTGGCAGCATCCAGCCACCACCCTCCTCCATCAGCCCCCGTGCAGAGGTCAAGACCCTGGAGATGAGCAGGACCATGTATATTCGGACCCCCCCTTCACACCTCCTTCCCTGCCTTCCCATGGCTTCCAGAGCAGGGGCAGGCTGGGTCAGCATTGCCAAGTGATGGGAGAGCCAGGGATACCCAACCCTCACATCTCCTGCAGAACCGCAGCCAGGGGAGCTTGCTGGTGACTGCTGGAGTGCCACAGCTGCTTGATCGCACAGATTCTCCACTCACCAGTGGTGACTCTCTGCCCTAGGCTCTCCCTGTCCTCTGCTCCCTCCAGGGCACAGAGAGTCCAGCAGCTGCCACGTCTTCACCCAACACAGTAACAGGGCATTGCTCCCACCACAGGGAGCCCATGGCCAGCCAAGCTGGCGCCAGGCTGTGTGGTGCCATGGTGTGGGGATGCCCACTGATCACTGTCTCTTCCACCTCAGCTGTACTAGTACCAGGGAGCAGGATGTTTGCAGCCTGTTCCTCCCCAGGATGTCCAGCATCAACTCTCATCAGCTACTGCTGCCAGCCACCTCCCGGAGAGCAGAAGTTCTGCGGCCAG